CACATTTAAACGGACGCTTGTGCGAAGGGTCATGTTCCATCTCTGGTTTAAACTTGCTTCTGTTTTGTTGAGGGAATCTTGCCTGGTGAGTCTTTGACCACCACAGTCCATCACAGTAGTACATGTCGTCCCAGTCAACTTCATACTCCTGGAAGCTGCAACCAGAGTTTCAACACGTTCGTCCAAATAGTATGTTATATATTTTTTGAGGGCCCATGATACATGGAAGAGCGCAGGACATCCCAAAGCCTCGGCAACATAGGTTTCCGTGAAGGGTGCCTCCTCCTGGCTTCAAAAAAGATAATGTCTTTCTATCAGATTTGAATCCCCGTGCGCTTTCCAAAGATGGTGGAGCCAAGCTAACTAGATGGCAGGATGAGAGGCCTCCTCGGCCACAGCAGGATGAGTGCATGCATTCACCCATTCGTCCTCCAACAAATCCCAAGCAAGAAATTACAAACTCTAGCCGGGAAGCGCTGTCACACATTATACTATAAGTGGGTGGCAAAAGACACATTAAGATATGGTCCTCATAGACTTCCTCGTCATAAGTCCATTCTCCAATGTAGTTTGGGTCCTGGGACAAAAATTGAAGAAGATTATAACCAGTGACTTGATGCAAAGAATTGAGCACCTCAGCATTTTCCCAGCCAGCGTCTGCTGGAGCGCAGGCCTCAACATTCATTTTGACGGCGTGTGAACAAGGCGGGGTACACAATGGTTGATGACTGGGTCAAGATTTTTTTGAAGATGTTTTCCTATAGCTCATTGAGCCCGTTTGGGAGGCATCACTAAGAAGTTGCAAAGTCTAGGAACATGCGCAAAAACAAGCGGACCAGGGAGGGCAACTGGTCTGACTGCTTGGGTCTGCAGAATTTTGTTGATCTAAAGCCAGTTGAAAATGAAAAAGCAATGGTGGCCAGCGCCTCTAGAATCAGTATCAGTAGGAGTTACAAGAAAAGCTCTTGAAGATAGTGGGCTCCGGGCCTCCGCTTCCGATTCATCCACCAGTGTCCCCTCGATCGACTCGTCCTCGTCCTGCCAAAGTTTGCTTTTTGAAAGATCCTCGCCGGCCACACGCGCACCTCGCCGGCCACACGCACAGGCCTCCACCCCAGCTTGCTCCGGAGCCTCATGGATCGCCTCGCGAGTTGGGAAAACAAAGATGGCTGCCCACTGGCAACTCCATGTGGTTGGGCAGTGTGATTAAGCCCTCAAAATGTGTTTATGGATGGTTTCTGGCCACCTTGATTGCCATGAACATTTGTTTGGCATAGTTTCGCACGACGTTGCAGTTTCTAACTGCCAACCACCAAAAGGGAAATCTGTGAGCTGGGCCTCTGCAATCCCAGACGTGTCCTGGGCCACAGGCAGCATCACAAAATAATACGTAAAGGGAACGTTGATAAAACTAAGTACAGTGGGTGCAAGCTAGAACCTTCCACTTGTAGCAACGTGCTGTGAAAAAGTGTGTCATAATGAGTCTCCAGCGTATGGTTGGGTCTCCACGGCATCCATTTTTTCGCTGAAAGCCCTCTTGCAGCGCTTCGCCAACTTTTGGAGCAGTAACGCTTGAGCCCTGCAGTGTTCCTCAAGGCCACCTTTTGGGTCAACTGGGATTCTAAAAGGCAACCCCAGCGCAACTTGGCGTGTGATATCTTGACTGAGCCGTTTCGTGAAGACCCGTCCGGTGTGTGCCTTCAGAAAACGGAACTTCTTGGCACTCCTCCTTCTCAGGTTGCATTTTCTAGGGAAAAGGCTGCCGGTGGCTTCAACATAGTCTAAGTCCAAGCACTGCAGCAGTTTCTGCGCAATGTCCGACGCTAACGTCTCCCGCCGCTTTCTTTGTACCGACAGTTTACCTTCACCATGGGGTTGCCTATCTTGCACCATGCTGTTGAGCCTCAAAACACAGCATTAAATGTTCTATGCATGGTTCTGGTCCACTCCACAATGCGTGCCCTGGGCTTACCCTCGCCTGGCCGACCGCGACCCAAAGTGAGACGAACCCACCGAGTTGAATGACGTTGTGTATGTGTGCTGCCTTCTGGTGAAAAACATGAACACAGTTGTCCGTAAATTGAGAGTGTCAGACTTAACACCTCCTCCAATAATGTAATGACTTGCAGAAGTACGCTGCGAAAATGCACGGCGAGCGAGCGGCGGTGTTGCTCCACAAGTGGCAAGACACTGACACTGACAGCCACGGTTTCAACGCTGAACCATACTAAAAAACTGTCTCACGCCTTGTTTTTATGCTTAGCATGGGTGGCTGGAAAAATACATTTCCCAGCCTTTATAATAGATGATGTGTCAAAAACCAGACTTGATGCCAACAAGCGTTAGAACATTGCCTCAATCCGCACGTCTGCCTTTGTTGGGCTGGTCTGTCAATACATGTGCCCTGCCTTCTTCCAAATCGCCTTTTCAGGGTGGGGTTCACTCGAAGTGACAAAGTTCAAAACCCTGGGGCGCACGCCAATCTGGCCATAGTCCGGGTCAAGAACTGTTTCGATCACAAGATATGCGCCAGAAAGACCCATTCTTCAGCTTCACCATCAGAGGCTCTGATCTATAAGACCGGTGGGCTTAGATGAGCTATAAGTCCTTCTGACCTGCGGTGGTGAGTTTGAGCGAGTGTGAATGCGAATGTGAGTGAGAGTGAGCGTGAGCGTGTGAGAGTGTGAGAGTGAGTGAGAGTGAGTCAAAGTGAGTGTGGGTGAGTGAGTTATAGTGAGTGAGCGTGTTTCGAGAGGCCTGAATGTATTCTAAGTAGCAGCAAGGTAGCTGGACACGCCCGCGCGACACCTCCGATTGCGTAGAATCGTAGAAGCTAGATAACTGAATTTCCAGCTATGTCCACGAGTTTTCACAGCGCTAGGAGCCAAGTGCAGAGCTAGCCAAGTGTACGATTTGGCGAAGGCAGGAGCTGACCAGCGCGCTAGAAAATCCAGGCGGGCTGTCGTCGAAAATCCGTGTGGCTGTTGTCGACAATCGACGAGAAATCCAGGCTGGCGTCACTCGAGTGTGTAAACGGCGTCGAAAATCTTGAGCGTGGGCGGTTGCATGTATACGGCGCCGGCGCTGCGGGAACCCCCGTGTCTTATCAGCGAACGCGAAAGTTCGCTGTCTGAGACGCTGGGCGCTGCGCGGTTGCGGCGCGCGCTGCCCGGCCGGCTGGGCATAGATGGCTTTCCATTCGAAGGTGGAAGTTGCCAAAATGTAACTGCCGTCAAAAATCAAGGTGGAAGTTGCCAATAGTCGTCGAAAAAGAGGGTGGACGTTCCAACTGTCGAATTGCCTTAAGTGTGTAACGGTCGTCGAAAAACAAGGCGGGCGGCGGGCGATACCAATGTGTAACTGTCGAAGCTACCAAAGGGCTTAGCTGTCCTTAACTGTCGTCGAAACTGGGAAGTTTCGTGAAGGGTGATGGGAAGTTGCCAAATCGTCAGAATCCAGGTGGAAGTTGCCAAAGTGTGCAACAGTCATCGAAGATTCAGGCAAGCGTGGAAGTAAAGAGCTGCGCGAATCTGCGTTTTCTCAGCGAACGCGCGCTGCCAACAGTTGTGAAAGCCAGCTGTTTGAGACGCTGGTCGCTGCACGAGTTCGGCGCAGTTGCGGGCGCTTGCAGGGTGGCAGGCTGGCTGGGCACACACATGTGTATATATATATATATATTACTTTTTTTCAAATACCTACATATATATATATATATAAATACCTATATACGCAAGCGTTCAACTCGGCTGCCTGCCTACCCACCTACAGCATTACGTGAGGACTACAGCAGATCCAAAAGGTCACCAACACCTTCGCCATCCTTCGGCCCAGTTTTCGCAGTTTTCGCCCCTGGAAAAGTGGCCACCAGGAATTGGGGCCTCTCAAATGCTCCAAGTTGCAAAAAGAAGGCGCCAACGCCATCCAAGGCGTTTAGGGCAACTGCACGCACCATCAGGTGACAAAGCAAGCTCTGACGACGCCTAACCGCACCAGCATCCACAGAGATGGGGGCGCATGCTCCTCAACCCTCCACTGATCCAGGAAGACTATTACATACATCAACGCATACGTACCTTGCACCGGCTCTCTTTTCTCAGCTGGTCTTGATCAAGCGCCCATCATCAACCGCTTTCAAATCATGACCTTCAAGGTCTTCACATCTGCCAAAATCAGGATCACCCTTCACCCAGGCGCTATCCCTCGAGAGAGAGAGAGAGAGCAACGCCCTGTCTGGTCAAACCCAAACGCATCCGCCGGCGATCAGCATGTAGCCTGTATACGTCGAGCCATCTCCCTGATCAGCTGCGAGAAAGTCTTCCACACCTCAGCTCCTCATTCCTTCTGTCAGCCACCTGCCTCCAGGACATTCCGTCTCCTCTCACCCTCTCACGCTGTCTGCTTCACATCCCCTTCCTTTCCTTTCTCAACTTCAACAGCCACCTTAACGTCTCCTCTCTGCTTCCCTCGCCCTTCTTCGCCTCAGGCTTCCTTCCCTTCTTTAACAAAGCCTGGGTCCACCTCTTCTCAAAGATTCGCCCTGTCGTCGGGCCTGTTCCCAAACCCTCGGCTCCCCCTCTCCTGGGGATCGGATTGGCCAGTTGATCGTTGAGAGAACGTCAGCCTGAAGAATGTTGTGAGCGAACTCGATCTCTACCATGCGCAACCCCAGCATAGCAGGCGTCGGTTGAGCTTGCGCCCGCAATGGGGACCAGCAATTGCGGTTCAACAGCCGGTGGACTTGGGCTCATAACCCTTTTGTGCAAAACAGTGCACGAGCTCTCTTGATCAGGGCTGCGGTCGTGTCCATCAAATGCTTTCCAATCATGACTTGAGCAGGGATACATTACGTATTATCATATATCACATTGCGTTGCATTACACACACACACAAACACCTCAAGAAAAGACATGCGCGTGTGTGTATGCTTGACATTCGCTGAATTCAGGCGTTAAACTCCAAATCTGCTTGTGAGTACATACATCAACCACAACAAACTGGCCTTAACCTCCCGCTCTCTTTTCTCCTTCCTTTCATCCTCACGACCTGAACATAAAAGAAACAAAAAGAACACCCGTTTGCATTCGGAATGATGTTTGTTGCATCTCCTTCCACCGCGTTTGCGGGACCACCAGTTCAACAGTTTTGAACTAGATGTAGTTCATCAGCCCTGAGGCATCTGATGGAAAAGAATCTGCAAAGTTCCCAGTCACTTGCTCATACTGCAGGTTTGCGGAAACCTGGAGTTCTTAGCAATCTGGCCCAATATCTGATTAGTAAAACTAACTGACACAGGATAACTGACCACAAGTGACCACAAGAAACATTGATGATTTTGGATGCATACTGCATACTGCACCACTCTTGTCTGCCATCCGAGCGTTACAAAATAAAATTACTCCAGCATAGACCCCAGATAGCAAATGCGTGCAAAAGATTTTTCTGGGCTGCATCCTGCATTGGCAGCAGCTCCAATTTTTACACGCAATACAGCGTGGCGTGTCTCCACTACGCACACAGCCGCGCCAGCACCAGCAATCTGTCTCCACCTCACGCGCAGCCAGCTCACAGGACCAGCGCCAGCACCGGCAGCACCAGCACCAGCACCTGTCTCCACCACGCGCACAGCTAGCTCACAGCACCCGCGCCGGCGCCCGGCACCCAGCACCAGCACCAGCAACCTGTCTCCACAGCGTGCACAGCCAGCTCACAGCACCAGCGCCCGGCACCACCAGCGGCACCCGGCACCCAGCACCAGCAACCTGTTTCCACCGCGTGCACAACAGCACCAGCACCGGCCCCAGCACCAGCACCAGCACCCGGCACCAGCTCACAGCACCAGCACCGGCACCCAGCACGCAGCACCAGCAACCTGTCTCCACCGCGCGCACAGTCAGCTCACAGCCAGCTCACAGCACCAGCGCCAGCACCCGGCACCACCAGCACCAGCACCGGCACCCGGCGCCCAGCACCAGCAACCTGTCTCCACCACGCGCGCAGTCAGCTCACAGCACCACCGTGCACAGCCAGCTCAGAGACAGCACCAGCACCGGCGCCCGGCACCAGCACAGCAACCTGTCTCGAAAGCGCGCGCGGGCAACTCATGTTATTTGAAGTAAGAACCCCATAGCTTCGCTATCTGGGGAAATAGTTGTTTAAACAACATTTCTTTCCAAGGTTGACTCTCGTAGCTACGGTGGTCCGCACACAATCCCTTTTTCTCAGTCATCTTGCCGGTATGGTCTTCAACCTGCCATGTCCAGCAGGATAATTGCGTTGGGTTACCTGCATCAGCAGGCCTGACACAATCAGACCCTTGTGGTATCCTTCCGGTCACTCCGGAAACCACTCCCCCCTGGGGTGCTTAAAAAGTGGTCTGAAAGCGGTCACTCCGCTAGATTGTGCCAGATCGCAGATCCCTGCGCAAGCCCCAGGCTAGCCAGCTAGCCCTTCAAGGGTAAGGGTGACCCCACCGGGGGCCCTTACACCAGGGTGGGCTGGGTGGGAAAAAGAGAGAACAAACGCTATTTTGGCCAAGTCACTTGAGCCAAAACATTCGTTGGTTCAAACCTATGGCAGTAATGAATACATGTTCACCCAAGCCTGCCAGACCTGAAACATGTTTACATTTCTTTCCAAGGTTGACTCTCGTAGCTACGGTGGTCCGCACACAATCCCTTTTTCTCAGTCATCTTGCCGGTATGGTCTTCAACCTGCCATGTCCAGCAGGATAATTGCGTTGGGTTACCTGCATCAGCAGGCCTGACACAATCAGACCCTTGTGGTATCCTTCCGGTCACTCCGGAAACCACTCCCAATGCACTTCAAATCCTCCCAACGCACTTAGAGAAATTCTACGACTCGGATCACTGCTGGCAGCGGAAGGTGCCAAAGGCAGAGAGGGCAAGAGACGGAAAAAGGGGTGAATCCGTTGGTTCGCCACCACGGATCGGACCAACCTAGTCTTGAAATTGCGTCGGCCCAATTACTCTTAGACGGAATGTATTCCCAATACATCCAAGTACGCAAAGCGTACAGCATGACATGAATCAAACCACACATGCGCTCCAGATCGGGTGACTGGGAACGGCCCCGGATCAGACACATGAGGCTAGCGACGTTGTCGATCAGCCAGATGCCTCGACGACCTCGAAAGGTCTGCGCCCGATATGTGAGGGCATAAACGATCATCACCATCTCCAACTGGGCTATCTGCCTGTCACCAGGCTCACACAGCTGGTAAACTTCCGGAGAAATGTTGGCGATGAAGGCTTTCCGAACCGGTCCCACCGGATCGTGCCAGACGATTAAAAATCCTCCTGTGCCCTGCTTTGGTTCCTCCAAAGCTGCGTCAGAAGCTACAACAAACCGCAAACATTCGGACGGCCTCACGGGAAGTTCTCGACAGGGTCGATGGCGAAGGATGGAGTGAATCACATCGAAGTTGCGCTGAAGCTCTGGAGTGAGGTCGCGGTTGCGCTCTGTCTGGCGTGCTTTAATGGCTGCCAAACCTGCGCATCCCAACCTTCCGTACATGCCCTGCTCGAGAAAATTGAGCATGCCGTAGAGCTTGGATGCCTGGCCTGAGGACAGGCTGTTGTGTGCCTGTGCCTCGGTAATCATCGCAGCTGTCTTCTGAATCAATCGATCTCGGGCCCAAAACGTCACGAAGCCCCGACTGAGGTTCGTAAAGTCGTGATCAAGGCCCAGAAAGGTACCGGTAGGCTGCATCACCTGTTTCTTCTCCTCGGCAAACGGGGTACCTAAGAGGGTGTTCAACTGACAGAAAGCTTGTTGGCTGGAGCCGAAGCCTGACTGGAGGTCCGTGATGTGGGCATCATCGAAATAGAGCGACACCAGACTGTATGTAAGCCGTCGGCCCAGTGCTTCAATGAGGCAGGAATACCGATTGAACGATGTAACCGCGAGCGGAAGGCCGAAGAGGAGGGATGAATACACCTGAAAGGCGGGTTCCCCCCGCTCAGCATGCCAGAAGCAGACGATACAGCCGCGGCTCTCTGCCTGACTGATAGGGGAATGCCGATACGCGTTCGGCCAATCTCCCCTCGTGACAGCCACTCGTCAGCAGTCGTAAGAGTGTGCCACTGTTTGTCTGTCAACAGTGAAGCGACCGCCCCCACATGTTGTGCAGGGCGCAACGGCGAGCATAAAACCAACTTGTTCCAATCCGAAGACCTCTCAGACTGGCCTCCTGTATCTCCATTATCAATGATCCGCTTTTTGCCCGAGGATTGGACAATCACACATCGGGGGATGAGGCGGAATGGTTCTCCTCGTAGTTCTCGTAGGAGCTGCGCCTGGGTCAACGGTGCAGAGCAGAAACCTTGGGCGGCATCGTTCAGCGATTGCTCCAGCAGCACGGCATCATGTCTGCCGGGTTTGAGCGAGGCGAGGGTCTTGTAATTGTGGGTTTCCCAGTCGTCGAGCACGTCCTCCATGGTGAGGATACGACCTGGCTGCTCCGGAAAGACCCCGTAGGGTGGTGCCGTACCTACAGCTGGCAGTCCCGCTACCAAGCCGTAAGGGTACGTGATATCCGCCCAGGACGTTAGGGTCACCAAGAGGGCTGTTAGCCCGATGTCCCTGGAACGGGCGACTGCCCGAATCGCTGATGTTTGGAAAGTCCGCAGGTGCTCGCCCACGCTCCTCCATCGCTGCTTCAGCTCCTTCAAGATGCCTAGGCTCTGCTCGCGGAGTCGTGGTAGGTCTTCGGAACGTGATGCATAGAGTTCAGCCACAAACCATAGATCATCGTCCAGAAGGGGCGACTGCTCAGTCGGGATTAGTGCCTGGCTTCGAAGGCAAGCACGCTGAAAGTGGGTGTCCGGGTCCAGCCCAAAACTCAAAAGCGGAGGTAGGGCGGCTTTATGGCTCAAAGCTCCGGCTTGCTGGCCCTCGGCATGACGTTGCCGCTGCCTCAAAGCTGCGCTAGCCAAATGTGGTCCCAGGGGCCCATCTGCCTTGAGATCGTGCTGGTCTCTCCAGCGTGGAAACTCGCAGAACGGTGCCTGATTCAGGAGGTCTTCGATCATCGGGAACTTGAAGTCCTGGAACCATGTACCTGGGAAGCGGCGGCGGAAGCGCGTGACAACGCCTTCTTGGGTGAATAGGCCCACTCGTGCTGGGATGCTCGCAGCCACTCCGCGGCTGGAGATGACCCCCAACCGCAATGCTCGAGATGCTGTCGAGCGATGCCTCTGGGCTTGCCCGCCTGCCGCTGCCAGGTAGCGAGGTGCTTCCGGGGCTGTGGCGTCAAAAACCAACCCTGCCAGCGCATCGGCTTCGCAAACGTCACTGTCATGTGGGCAATCACAGGCTAAGGTGCAGCCCGCCAGCTCTGGGAGTTCCGCCGCCTTGGACGACATGATGAACTCAACATAACAAGGAAGCCATTCATCTGCGGTACAATCATGTCCTGGGGTGTACGGAGAGCACCATTTCGACAGGGGCAACTTGTGGCTGTGATGCCCTCGCCCTACGTAGATGCACTTGGCGGGAAGGTGGCCATCCACCAAGAAATCGACTGCTCGGCGCGCGCGAGGCACCCGTGCACGCTCGCGCGGGTCGATTGGTCGCAGGCCCAGCTGGATCGCCAAAGGAGTCATAGCCCAGCTGCGCATAGAGCGGGGGTCATAGTGAAGCCAGTGCTCCCGGCGGCCCACAGCCTCAGTCGGCGGCATCCGAGGGACGCGCAACTTGGCTCGACCAACACGTACTGCCCACCAACTAGTGGACACCGCAATGGCGAAGGCCAGCGGGGCTGTGTACTCAGCTTCCTCATGGCTAGGGAAGACTCGCTGCCCATCCAAGGTGTAGGGCTTCCACTCATCTGGGTCGTGCTGATGATGGCATTGGAGTGGCGGCCACTGGGAGATCTCCTGGATGTTGTGCCTGAGTCTCTGCTGCTTGCACCGCGCCCCCATGAAGCAGCATGCTGCGTAGCAGGTGTCCTGCCAATCGCCGGACGCCAACATCTGCTTCTCACGGGGCAGTTCCCAATGGAGGCTCCTCGCCGGATTCTCCCGCAGTGACACTCCACCACGATCGGCCAATTCCTGGGTCTCCTGGAGGACAAAGTCACAGGCCTGGTTGTCCTTGGTCACTCGCCGAAGGTCACTCCCTCGGAGGTGTGGGAGGCCTGCGGGGTGTTCGTCTGACCGCAGGGGTTTCGGAGCGGGTCGGCCGTCCTCGAACTTCCTGGGAATCTCTCGAGCGCGGGACTTGGTGCTACAGTCCAACGCGGCACAGATGCAATCGGCTTGCTGCAACATCTCGCGAAGCTCTTGCTGAAACTCCGGGCGCGCGAGGTCATGTTGAGGGTTGATCAACCAGTCAATGGTGATGCATCTCCAGCCGCAAAAGATGAAGGCTCTGGTAAGCGGTGCATTGGGTCCTGACATCAGGTCGGCCATCAGGGGTCCCTCCCCTGATTGCGGCGGATCCTCAACCGACCCTGAAGAGGCTGCCGCTGCCTCTTCAAGGCCCCGTCAGGCCTTCGGGGTATTGCGGCAAGCTGCTGCCCCATGGTTCGGAGCTCCACACACCCGCTCCTTCTTGGTAACGTGGCCGCAACGATGTTGGCCAAGCTTGCATTTGCCCCCCTTACTCTTGCAAGATCCTTCCTGGAATGCCTGGCAAAGGAGCGTCCCATCACGGAGTACCCTGGCCACTTGTTTGCCTTGGATCGATTTCCCCGATGCAAACTTGGAGGCCGCTGGAGCGGCTGCTGGCGGAGCGCTCTTCCCAGGGGCGGTGGACGCTGGCTCTGCTGGTGTGGGCGGCAACCAGTGTGCATCTCGCGCTTGGTAGACTTCTTTAATAATGACGCCGAGCGACTGAGAGCTTTCCCGAAAGCGTGCCGTCCACTCTGCCCGTTCTTCGGCATCACGGGTTTGGAGCCATGCCAGCCGTTTGCCTGGAGGGAGTGCGGCAGTGGCTCGTTTCGCTCGAAAGAAATATTGCATCGCGATGTCCGGCGAAACTCCCCCCTCGCCGAATGCCCCTGTCAGGAGACTGCACTCTGTTTTCACGCTGTCTCGGTCAAGCTCGCCACGGGCAACGGATCACTCCATCGCCAAAAGGGGGGCTAGCTGCTCTTATGTGTCGCTGTGCGACAAGATGAAAACAGGTGCCACAGCCTCCTCAAGGGATCCAGGAGGCTGGCGCTCTATTGGCACAAACTTGGCATGTTGGCCTGCCCCAGGCAATCGCCTCCATCTTCGAGGTACACTTCGACGGGTGTGCCAAACGCCCTTTGCTCTTCTGGCCGCTCTGGCGATGTGAGCAGAGGGGAGTGTCCTCATAGCCCTGGATGTGCAGCTGACTGCGGGCGGTCCCGGAGGAGAATGGCTCGGATCATACACGCGGTACCCGCCGCGCGATGCCGGCCACTAATGCAGTGGAGGAGCACATCCTCGCCTCCCCACAACGTATTGCACAGGAGCGGAAACAGGTCGCGCCATTGCTCGTCTCGCCTATCAGGGTGGGCGATAGCGAACTTGCGCAGGGTCGCTCCCTGCAAGCAAATGCCACCCCGCTGCGAAGGCTCCTCAAGCATGCATGCCACTTGAAGAGTGACGGATGGAAAGGCTGATGCTGACCTGTTCGTAGGCAATCCACCCAACCACAACGTGCCGCCACTTTGGACGGACAGCACTTTGGTCGGCGCCTGCGCGCTCTTCCCCCGCACGGTGGCCAAGCGGTCCCACCGCTGGTCGTGCACATTGGGTGTGAACGCGGCCGGGGGCTCGGGCATCTCGAAGATGTCGCTGGGAGCCTCCGTTGCTTCGGCTGCTGCTGCTCGCCATGGTGGAATGACCTCCGAGGCTTTGGGCGCCGCCGCTGTCGCCGCCACCGAGGGCGGCATTGCCTTGGGCGCCACGGGCTGCGCTGGAGAGGGTACTGCTTCAGTGTCCGGGGGTGGCACGGTACGCAGCTTCTTGGTCTTGGGAGCCGGGACTGGACTCGGGGACGCGCTCGGGGAGCGAGGGCCTGCTGAGGACTCATCTTCACTGGAGGTGCTCTCTGGCGATGATGATCGATGTGGTGCCTCAGGGGCGTCGGCCACGGGGAGAGCGACTGGCTCTGCGGTGCTGGGCACTGCGACGTTCGCCAGAGGGGTGTGCTCGACATCCTCGGCCACCACATAGCGCTTTGCCAAGCAAGCCTGAGCTGGATGCTTCCCTCCGCAGGCACGGCCAGTCTTCAGCACGATGGCACAAAGGTGGGCTTCACCACAGGTCCCCTCGCCCACGTGGCAGGCGTCCAACTGAAAGTTGGGGCATAGCGCCTTGCCGTTCCTCAGGAAACGGGTGACCACCTTGCCATTGATGGAAGGGGGCATCACAGCTTCGGAGCGCTTGGAACTAGCCTGCGCCGCTCTTGTGAGCGCTGCACGCTCTCGCGAGAAAGCGAACGCGCGCTGCGCTGCTGCCACCGACATCGGCTTGTCCCACAAGCTGTGCTTGTCGAGGCTCACTGCCCGCTGCACCTCGGGCTTGGCCGCGTCCACTGCGGCAGTGATGGCGGCTGGAGTTGCCAGTTCCCAGGCATCAAATTCGCCCAACCTGGCGACAAGTCCCAGCGACAGATGTTTGAGCCTCATGCTAACGAGATCACGGCTGCCTGCGTAGTGTGTCGGCATGGCGGCCTCCTGAGGTAGCTCACTCTTGGATTGCCAATCCCCCAAGGCCACCATCTCAACCGGGGTGTACTTGGCCAGCAACGCCACCGTGGGCATGAGCCGGCGCCACGAGTAGGTGGAGAGGTCGGCCACGTCGGTCACAAGGTCCTGGAACAGCTCACGACCTGCGGCTTGCACCTCAGAGATGTCCCACGCGCGGCCCTCCCGATTGAAGCAGAGGCCGCCTTCATCTCGTTGGGCCTCGGGCAACTGGTTCCGAAGGGCCACCACATGCTCTGCCCAGGGCCAGCCATCTGTGAACTGCGAAGGGATGGAGAAGTCGAAGCCATCACGTTTGCTCGCCTGCTTCCCTTTGGGGCAATGGCAGTACATCGTTGAGCGGGACAATCGCACCATCTGAGCGCGTTGGACATGCCGGTAGCGTAGTACCCCTACGCCAACGATCCAACTTCCCAGCATCGCAGTCCAGCGAGGGTCCTGTCGGGTGAAGGCTTCCTTGATGCCACGCTCCAAGTGGGTGAGCATGGGCGGCTCGACAACGAGAGCCTGGGATCGCGCAGCTGCCCGCCGTGAGGCAGGTGGATCCAGCACGATCGCATCCAACTGCCACCCCAAATGCCCCAGTTTATTCAACCAGCGAAGCGAGTTCAATGCCCGCTTGGGTCCTTTGGAGCCGGAGGCCAGGAATGACGCCAAATCCAAATGCTCTATCGTAGTCCTATCTCGAGAACGCATAAAGCTGACCAATTCCGACCACGTGCGCACAGCGTTCACCACTGTCTGAGGTTCCGATTTGGTCACTTTGACCTGCGCCAATCGAGTGAGTTGCAGTTTCCACTCAGCTAGGATCGCATCTGAGAGGTTCCCCACGGAAGGGCGATGAATCCCGGCGTCCTCAAACACCTTGGCCAGCGCTTCCACTCGCCTGTTCACACTGTCAGCACTGAAAGCTTGCTGAGAAAGGGTCACTCCCTTCCGAACAGGCACTGGAGGAGCGGGTAGGTGAAGAGCATGCGCCGGCCTGTCGCGACTCGAGCCAGCTTCCACTGTAGAGGCCGCCAACGGCATCAGCTCCTCAGTCTGCTCGGAGCGGGCCTTGGTCCAAGCATCGGCCAATCCCCGGCCCCCGGCCAACAAGGCCTCTTCCGCTGACCGAAAGGCAAAGGCGAAGTCCGCGTCGTCCAAGAGGTGGTATTGCTCCCTGAACTCGCGAACACGGGCGGCTTGGGCCACTTCAGACGAGGTCTCCGGGTCCCACCTGGAGCTCCCCGCTGACTCGACCGCATAGCGCCCCCTGTCAGCCATGAGCCCTGCAAGGACTATCGCACTAGTCTGAGCCAGAACTGTCGATGCACAACGGGCACTGCCGTGACCAGAAGTTGCAGCTCTCACAAACGATCGATCGACAGACTCGTCGACAGGACTCGAACGTGGGCAGGCGACAAAGGAGGCAGAGGGGGGGGATGTACTCAACGTCATAGGCCACGGCCCCCAGGATTGCACGGATGGATCGGCCTGCATTCGCGACTTCACGGGGAATACCTGGGGTCCCAACCAGGGACGACCATGGTTCCCGCCATGGCCGCCTCCCCTGCTGCCAAAGCCGAACCAGCTCGAAGAACTCCTCGGTGTCGATGCCATCGTCCCCGTCGTCCAGCCGCTCCACGGCCAAACCAACGTGGACCGGCAAGATGTCCAACGGGCCCAGGTCGAAGGCAATCCACTGCAGCGCCAGGCGGTCCAAGCGCGCCGCAGAGGCACACGCGACCGCTGGCCCAAGTCCCTCTTGAACCAGCAAGCAGCGGCGGTTCCATACGCCCACCCATGGGAACTGGAAGCCGCCCCGACGGTCGGTGCACCTTGCACACGGAATGGTGGTACATACGAACCGACGAACCGGGGGGAACCCAGCGATGGAGAGGGGTTGCCCTGGAGACCCCAGATGCACCAACTCCACCACGGAGGCCCAGAGGCGCAAAGCTTCCCGCTCGCGCCCCTCAGCAACCAGCTCCTGAAGGTGAGCGCTGAACTCCATCCACGCGGCGGCATGGATCACCTGGTACCTGGTGTAGGCAGCAAGGCTTGTTCCCAACTCGCTCATGGGAAAACAGGGTCCCTCCCTGCACAAAAAAAGGAACTGTCTCTCCAAGGGTTCCGCCCTCAAAAAGAGAGAACAAACGCTATTTTGGCCAAGTCACTTGAGCCAAAACATTCGTTGGTTCAAACCTATGGCAGTAATGAATACATGTTCACCCAAGCCTGCCAGACCTGAAACATGTTTAAATAAGTAAATAGACCATACACAATAACTAAAGAATAAACAAATGCATGTAGGGCTTAGCTGGCTTAGGTCACGACTCTTCATGTTCTTCTCCTTTTTCTCGGCCTCGCGGCTCTTTGGATTCCTCTCATCATCTTTGCCTTTGAGGTCCTGGCTCGCACATCCAGCGGCTGGAGCCATTCATGTTGAGCCCCCGATTCCTCGAGTATGGTATACCGTTTGCATCTTTGCATACCTTAGATTCATGACCTGAGCATGTCCTTCTTAACATGTTTACCACTGGTAATGATAAGATTGATATTAGATTCTGGGCAACAAGCCATGAATGATGAATCAGGAACATCATCCACACACAGGCGTGCCTTCCGTGTTTCTTGCCGTGCCAGCACTCTCCGCTCACCCTGAGGCAAACAGCACGAATGTCGGCATGAAGGGGTCCTCTAAATCCCTCCGGGTGAGCCATCTGGAAAGCTTTCCTAGTCATGCTGCTTGCAGCACTAGATTCCTGAATGTCTTAGACCTGGTTGGCCCGTTTGCAGTGCTGGGCAGCCAAACTGATGGTGATGTTGGAGCTGATGCCTCGTCCTTCGAAGGGAAGCGAACACCAGAAGGCTCAATGAGCAGTCACGACTAGGCCGACTAGGTGACTAGCTTACACTTGAGCGGGGAAACACGAAAGGTAGAGACGGACCGGGTAGCTATCGGGACCTTTTCTGGTGAGGGACTGTCTCCGGTGTTTCAGGAACGTGCCCCTTGGTCAATCATGGATGAAACCAACAAAGCCAGAGAGCACAAGAAGGCTCAAGAGGGACACCGTTGCGGTCAGATTGCGCCACACGGCTCTGCAGAGAGGCTGCGTTGCGTCGACGCTCGTTTGTGTCTAGGTGTTTGAAAACAGGCGCGCGTAAAAGTTGCAATGCGTGAACGCTCGCATGTGTACCAGCTATGGTCCCACAGCTGCACGCACTGTGTCAGGATTACAGGCCTGCACGTGTTGCGTCGAAGCCGTGACTCAGTGACCAACCCTTGTAAGGATAGTGCTGGAGGGGTGCGGCCGGTGATGCCATCACGCTATGGTGGGTGTGCTCCACGATGCGGTGAGATTTCGCCACGCTAGGGTATAAGAATGAGTCGAATGGTGTTCCGCGACGCGAGGGGTTTCTCCACAGGGCTTTGCAGAGAGGCTGTGTCGCATCGATGCTCGTTGGTGTCGAGCAATACGGTCTGTGAACGCAGTACGCGCTGTGTCAGGCTGCCGGGTGCGCACGCGCGGCATCGAAGCCGCATTGCGCGACCTCATTGCGCAGGGTTCGTGCTGTATTGCGCAACCTCATGGCCAGCGTCGTACTCCTGTGACTGCTAAGCGCATGACTTCACCTTGTGTCCAGAATGCTAGTAGTGCTGGCGACGAGGGGAGGGGACGGGGAGGGGAGTGGAGGGGAGGGGGGGGGGG